TTTTAGACTTTGACTTAGAAGAAGAAATCTATATGGAACAACCAGAAGGATTTGTGATTCATGGACAAGAAAATAAGGTATGTAAGTTATATAAGTTTTTGTATGGGCTAAAACAAGCTCCAAAGCAATGGCATGTAAAGTTTGATAACTTAATGATATCGAATAGGTACAAAGTGAATAAAAGTGACAAACACATTTATTAAAAATTTGAGAATTGAATTTGCACTATCATATGTCTTATATGTAGACGATCTACTCATATTTGGGTCAAACGTCCAGGCCATTAATGATATGAAATCATTGTTATGCAACAACTTTGATATGAAAGACCTCGGAAGCGAGTGTGATTCTTGGTATCAAGATCACTAGATCCGAGGAAGGAATTTCTTTAAATCAATCACAATATGTGAAAAAGATCTTAAAGAAATATAATCACTTTAACAGTAAACTTGTGAGCACACCAAATGATCCAAGCGTGAAGTTGTTTAAGAACACTGGTGAAAGTGTTAGACAAACAGAACATGTGAGCATCATTGGAAGTCTTAGGTATTCCATTGATTATACTAAACCCGACATTGCATATGTCATGGGATTGTTGTGCGGGTTTACTAGTAGACTGAGTAATGAACATTGACAATCTATTGAGCGAGTCATATGGTACCTTAAAAGGACCATGAATCTCGGTTTACATTATCAGAGATTTCTTGTTGTACTTGAAGGATACAATAATGCAGATTGGAATACCTTATCAGATGATTCCAAAGAAACCGGTGGCTATGTATTCAACATAGCTAGAGGAGTTGTATCTTGGAAACCAAAGAAACATACTATCCTGAGAATATAGCATTAGCGACTGCTAGTGAAGAAGCAAGTTGGTTAAGATGCTTGTTAATTGAGATTCCCTTATGGGAAAAACATATGTCTGTTGTGTTGATCCACTGTGATAGTATCGCGACTATTGCAAAAATCGAAAATCGTTATTATAATGGTAAAATACGTCAAATTAGAAGAAAGCACAACACTGTTAGAGATTGTATCTCTAAAGGAGATGTAAGAGTGAATCATGTACGCACTAATGAAAATTTAGCAGATCCTTTAACGAAAGGATTAGCTAGAGAGAAAGTCTATAATACATCATATAAGATGAGACTAATGCATATAGGAAAATGAGTTGCTCATGATGGTAACCCGACCTAAATGACTGGAGATCCCAAGAAATAGGTTCAATGGGTAACAACAAGTTGTGAGTAATATGAGATGATCATGCAGGTAAAGCATGAATCCTGAAGTAATAAGAGGATGAGATAATAGAAACTCTTAATGAGATATATACTTTGTATGAGGGAGTACCTAGATTATAGGAGTACTCTTGATAGACTCACCTATGTGATTGTGGAACTTAGGCCGGTTCCTATAGAATTTTGAGGTAGAATTCCTAGAGCCTTCATTAAACTGGGATACACGTGCAGGACCATTAAAGCACGAGCTATTAGAATACACCTTAAGAAAAGGTTTTGTGCGGGTTTGATGTCTAAGATAGAGTTCAAGATATTTGTGTCACTCTTGTTGAATTGGAATCCTACTTGATATGTAAAGGTTCAAGTGGTAGACACATTTGTTTATGCACAATCTCAGAAACGTTTGATGTTACTTTTAAAATCAATTTTTTAAATTCAAGTGGGGGATTGTTGGAACATGTCCATGTTGCAATATGTTGAATTTAAAAATTTCTCAAGTCCCACATTGTTATAATATCATTTTGGTTGAAAAAAAATCATTTAGTCTCACATTGTTCATGTGAGAAATATTAACTACCTTACTTCACCATATAAAGAGTGCACATGTTTCATTCCAAATCACACCAAAAACTATTCTATTAGTTTTTCCTTCTTCACTCTCATAACTTTGCGTCTCTCAAATTGACGAAGCACCATCTTCTTCCCCTTTCTTCCTACTCGTTGAATTTTCCGAGTATTTTCTTGAATTCTCTTTAGAGAATTATGTTAATTTCTCCTCATTTGAGTTGAGAAATTTTCAAGAGAATTATGTTAACTTCACTATATAAGGAGTGCACATGTTTCATTCTAAATCACACCAAAAGCTATTCTATTAGTTTTTCCTTCCTCACTCTCATAACTTTGCGTCTCTTGAATTGTCGAAACGCCATCTTCTTCCTCTTTCTTCCTACTCGTTGAATTTTCCAAGTATTTTCTTGAATTCTCTTTAGAGAATTATGTTAATTTCTCCTCATTTGAGTTGAGAAATTTTCAAGTTTAATCTTTTAGATTTTATTTGGAGAATTATTTGAATTTCTTTTTGTTGGAGAAATTATTATGAGTGGTCAAATGACCATTATTAATTTCTCTTTGGAGAATTATTTGAGTTTTTTTTTTGTTTGAGAATTTATTATGACTGGTTTTTGTACCAAATACTACGAGCGGTGTTGATACCATATTTGAATGGTCTCGAACCATCATAAGGTGTATTACTAGACCGATTATCTATCATTCAAATAGTAATCGTACAATATAGAACTAGACTGTTTTATCTTGGAGGTGACGCGGTAGTTCGATTGTTTTGTATAATTTTGAACAGTGTCGCGAAACGTATTAAAGAGAACGACTTAATCCACGACTCAATCTGATAATTTCTTCGGTGCCAAATATTTCAAAATTCGAAAACAACAAATAATATATGCTATAAAAATCAGAAATATTAATGGTAATTAATCAATTATTAATAAATAGACTAAATGTGAAATAAATTCAAATTTCTCTATCCAATTTTTATACATCTTTTCACTACAGCAAATCAAACTTCTTGATATATCCAAAAGTCTTCTTGATATTCCCATAAAAAGGAACATTTCTTACACAGGCTCATATAGTTATAGAGTTTAGGTAATGATGGTAAATGGATTTTATATAGCAAAGAAATCCTTATACGGACATGAAAAAAACATTAGAACTATTTTAAATTTTCTGTCAATTTTAATTGAACGAAGAAAAAAAGCTGCAGAATTGTATGAATATATCAAAATAACTATTATAGAAATCATTAAAATAAAAAATAGTAATAATTAATCATCAATTATCGATAAATAATAATATATGTTATAAAAATCAGTTTCTCTATCTCAGTTTTCATACGTGATTTCTCTACGGCAAAATGCAGTATTCAAAAACCATAAGCACAACCCGTTTTGCAGATGATGGTGGAAAACAGAACGAAATAAACTGTCTGCAGAGAATGGTGGAAGATGGAAGGAAATGCAATAGATTGGGAGTAACCATTAAATATCAAAATTTTATTTTTTATTTATCTATCTTATTATTTAATATTTTATCTAACAATAAAAAATATTATAATAAATATTATATTATTTTTATTCAGTGTATAAATATATCAAAGTAGAATAAAAAATATTTTCTCTTTATCTTTTTTCTTCTCCGCCTCATTATTTCATATTTTGATTCATAAATATAAATTTTATATATTAATAAAAAATTATAGTAAAAATTATATTATTTTGTGTGGTGCATTACCATATCAAATATCAAAAAAATGAAGGTAAATTTTTTTCTTTCTTTTTCTCATTATTTAATATTTTAATTTATAAATGTTAATATTTTATATATTATATTTTAATAAAAATTAAATTATTTTATTTGGTGTATAGATATATCAAATTAAATTATTTTATTTGAATGTCAAATAAAATAAAGAAAAAATTAAGTTGTGCATTTGATCATCAAATAGAGTACAATACAAAATATTGTCTTGTATTATCATATACCATCATCAATTACGATTCTGTTCAATATTTCTTAATTTGTAAATTAAATACACCTTTATGAAAAATAGAAGATAAATTGACAACAACTTAGACCGCTTGTTATTTTATTGAAATAGATTTGATAAACATTTTTATCATAATTTATTTTATTTTATTCGGTACTAATACTTTTACTACTGCGATGCAGAAAAAAAAAAGATTGATAAATATCATAGTTTTTTATAACAAAAATATGACTTTAAAAATAACAAAACTTCGCACGTTATCAAACACAAGATTACAGGTCCACTAAAATAATAGGAATATATACAAAATCGTAAAAAAGAATTATAAAATGTGAACAGGATAGAAAAATATAAATTATTCTTCTCTAACTATCTCGGCAAATGAACAAAAAATATAGAGTAAATTTATCTTGAAATTTGGAAGAAATTTTTTGGATATGAAAATGTAAAATTTTATTATCAAAATACAATCAACTATTGACATAAACTGATGACATAAATTAATGAAATATTATATATTTATTCATAAATTGAAATATAAAATGTAATCGAATAAGAGAATTTTTAAATCATTCAAATATATCATTTGATAGCAGAATCAACAAATAGATTAAACCTGTAAAATCAAACCGATTAGAATGACCATCAGCCAATCACTTGAAAGAAATAATAATGCGTTCGAATTGCACGCAACACAAGGGAACTATCCTACAAAAGAGTATTGGTGATCTATGTCATGATACATCTAACGACTCCCCGCATCCCACACATAGATAATAAGAGGTTGTTATAACCACTTTGTTATATAAAAGACACACAAGAAGAATTTCATGTACACAATTTTGAATTCAAATTTTAATCACTATTCTCCTACGCATATTGACTTAAGTGTTAGGGTGTTAACCTTGTAGGCCAGTACTGGGGCTTAGATTCATTGTGGTCCATCGCGATCACCGATTCTCCGGTCAATTATGGTTCTATAGCAGAATAGTGGTGCCGTTCGCGAGAATCAACTTTTTATTTGCATGTTTACCACAATCATACATTCTTTTTTTGATTCATCGATTTGAAATCTCCCCAACCTATCAGATCAGAGTTCTTGAAACCAAACACTGGATACACAATGTTCAAGCGATTCAAGTAGGGATCAAACTTAATTTTCTAATGTTCCAGATTCCTGGCTTCTAAACATTTCAACAATGGCTGGATCTAAAGCTATATGTTCTTCCACCTTTCACGAAGCAAATGCCGCTCAAACGACGAGAACTCTGATGCCTTATCCTCCTCCTCCTCCTCCTCCTAAAAGCATTACAGATCAAGTTGTGGTAAACACTCACATGCATCCAGATCTACTCCAACCTCCAAAGATCGTATGATCTACTCTAGTACCTCCACTCAGACATTCGATACCATCGCCAGGCTCACAACCTGAAACATTATCTAGTTTCCAACTACTGAAATCTAATCTCAGAATACAAGGTACTAATGAGTTATTGAACCACATGTATAACATCATTCGACAACAGAACTCATAAGCGATAAAATAAATATTACTTTGCCTCGAAGAAAGCCTACATAATGTACCTCAGAGGGGAACATCGTATAGGAACCCTTCTATAAGAGAAGCCAAGTTATCATTCCCGATCCAACTCCGTCACAGAGTGATGAAGCCCCAAAACTGCATAATCACTAGAAGATCAAGAAGCATTAAACTCCTCCTCAGAGCCCCGAGGGAGACCGAGGTATCCATGCTCCTCTGCATGATCGGATAGAGAAACCATCGACAAAGAATCTTCAAAAATATCCTCTCTATGCTCACATCTTGAATATTGGGATACCAAAGTCGTTAGAGAATCCTTATAAATTGAACAAGTACAATAGGAAAGGAGATCCTGACAAGAATGTGTAACTCATCAATGAACATTTGAACTATTACCATAATGGCAAAGCTTCCAAGTTTAAATTATTTTCACTAACATTGACGAAACTTTCCAGTATGTGGTTCAACGCTCTATTGGATGGGAGCTTTGAGTCATGGGCCAACCTATTCAAGAGCTTCACGACTCATTTCACATCCCAAAAAAGGCATCCAGTGACACCAACTACCCTAAGAACATAGGGAATGGAAGAGATTTTACCGTCTTACAACAATTGTTTCACACAAGTGGAAGTGGAAGTAGAAGAAGCTGAAGATGGTCTCAAATGCTAGATAATAGAGAATGGATTGTTATAAGATAGCCCCTTCATGCAGAAACTAGAGCAAACGAAAGCTCACACCATGAAAGAATTGTTGAACATGGAGAAATCTTTCATCAACTTGGAGAAGAATCTTAACACCCAGTTTGACAACTCGAGCGTTACTAACGAAAATTACAGCCGCTCATCCGAGAAAGACTCTTACCAGAGGAAAGATTAATTTGTTATGGGATCGATGGTCGATGCGATAAGCACACTCCCTTGAATCTTTGAGTATGCCAACCCAGAGTTATGAAAGGAAGAAGTTACAAATTTGATAACTTTTGAGTGTTTTTGTGAGTTTTAAGCATTCATAACCTTCCAAGGCTTTATGTTAGTGGGTTTTGATTTCTTAGCACAAAATAATTTGTGATTATGAGTAATTTATGGCTAATTTTTTTAGGAAAAATACTCATTTTGGTCCCTTAACTATACTCTTAGGTTCAGATTGGTCCCTTAATTTATTTTCGTCTCACCTTGGTCCCTTAACTTTCAAAATGTTTCATTTTAGTCTTTTTGGTCTAATTACCGACGAAAGAACTTTGAAATCGGTCACTAAATACGTCACTAATTAGACAAAAATGACTAAAATGAAATATTTTGAAAGTTAACGGACCAAAGTGACATGAAAAAAAATTAAGGGACCAATATGAACTCAAGGATATAGTTAAGGGACCAAAATAAATATTTTTCTTTCTTTTTTTAATTTATAAATAGACATTTGAGCTTCAAGTAAAATGATACATCATCTACCTTACCACTTTTTGTTACTTGTTACTTGCTTTATAGTTTCAACTTTATCTATTGCTTTCATTTTGTATTCATCTGCAACATTTGGTGTGCTCTTTGGTTTTCTTTTAGTTAAATCAAGATTTCCTTCAATTCAGGTTATTTTACATTGCTTTACTTTATTTACTTGCAATACCATGTCTTACCATTATTTAGTTATTGTTTACCTCACCATGGGTGAGTAGTTCCATAAGAACAAGGGGTCGTGAGAGTCTATCTCATGACGGCCCCTAATTGATTTATTCAAATTTGAATTATAAGAATAATAAGCAAATTTTTATTTTAGAATTTGAGTCCTTAAAAATATTTGTGTCGGTTACGAAAGAAAAAAGCAACCAATACACGTTCATAGTCTAAAAGGATATGCATCAATGTTAGACCGCATATTGCTAAACAATAGAGTAAAGAGGCGTTCTCAGTGACATTGCGACTCGCTTTCTATTGATAAATATGCTTAGCCAAACCAAGAAACACGTCTAGATGTGCATGTCACAAAAGTGGGTGTCACACATATTTATCTACTTTTCTATAAAACCTCTTAGAAATTCTCGTGTTCAAATATGAATAATAAATAGAGGGGTCTTGATAAATGATCACAACCCCGTGTCCTACTTTATTTATCTATTAATTTCATTTAAATTTTTACTAAACCAACCACTATTGTGATCTCTTTAGCCAAACATCATTAGAATAAAATCTGGTACTCATATAACATCTCCATGTGGGTTTGATCTTATTATACTACTTGGCGTTACCGTGCACTTGCGGTTTGGCAACATAATATCACCAGAGGAGTGCCTCAGGTGAATATCTCGTCCAACGGAATGATAAAGTGAAAAAGTGTTAAAATGTTGGTTGTCTTATTGTCCATAATAAAGATGGAGGCATTTTGACCAAGATCCCTTACAAGCCAATGCTTGGGTTTTAGGACTGTGAGAAAATCAAGGGAACCCCGAATGAAATCTTCCATTTAGTCATAATTACTACAATTGGGCATTTTGATGTCTCCCAAATCCTGATCGATGGTGAAACCTTATGTCACATAATGTAATATGAACTATTTGAGAAGATATGCATCAAGAGGGGAATTTGTGGTCGTACAAGGGGCCAAACTTACTGGATTTTAACGACACGAGAACTTAACTATGGGAGTATGTCGAGTTGATGATATCTATAGGAAAGGGAAGAGATGTTTGAACCATGAGCTCTTAGTTCCTTGGAATCCATTACAAAAGTGTTTACAATTACATTCTTGCAAAACCCTTTGCAAACTCCCTGGACTCGTGGCATCACCGGTCTACCTCAAGCTTAAATTTCACAAACCTTCATGGTGTACCAGTCACAGTAAATAGTGATCTTGAATAAGGTAAATATACACATCAAGCACTCCAACAAGACCAAGGAGAGATCAAGGCCATGGATATTAAGTTGTCCAAAAAAGTACAAGTGTGTGCATGTTCCACCTGTATGGGCAGGGAGACTCAGAGGCTCAGTAGGTATATTACACGTTTGAAGGTGAGGGCTAGCTCACAACATAGAGTAGATCTATATGGTAGTTTTTGAGGCTGTTTAAAAGACCAACTGACATGAGTTTAGAGGCCCTTCTAGTGGTTGGTGTAACACCTCTATACTATTTTCAGGATTATCAACTGACCCCACAAACCAACACGTATATTTTCAGCATATTTTTTCTCACACGCTTTCCCAAAAAATTCTCAGATGGTCACCCATCCAAATACTACTCCAAGTTAAGCATGCTTAACTATGGAGTTCTTATTTGTCAAGCTACCGAAAATAAGATGCACCTTGTTGGTATAGATAGTACCTATCAATCCTTATAAGTCTTCCATCAACCATGCATTCTCATACCTACACAACCTCAGGATCTCTCTCATTTCAATGTGAATTCAATTTTTTCCTAGAAGCTTCCAAGAGCCACTCATATTCATGATTCGTGCAGTGACAACTACCCTCTTCCCTCGTTAGCCTCGAGTGTTACATGCCCATCAGTTTCCGCTTGGTTTATCCCCGAACAATATCATATTATGAGAGGTCTTCTTTGATACCATTTATAACACCCCAAACTTCTTTCAGGATTACCGACTGTCCCCACAAACCAACACAGGTCTTTTCAGCATGCTTTGTCCTTACTCACACACTTTCCGGTTAACTTCCCAGAAGCTCACCCATCCAAATACTACTCCAAGTCAAGCGCACTTAACTATGAAGTTCTTATTTGTTAGACTACCGAAAACGAGATGCATCTTGTTGGTATAGATAGTACTAATGAATCCTTATAAGCCTTCCTTTAACCATGCAGTCCCATATCTGCACAACCTCAAGATCTCTCTCATTTTAATATGAAATCAGTTTTTGCATATAAGCTGCCAGAAACCACTCATTGTCATGCCTCGTGCACCGGCAACGACTCCCCACCCTCATCGACCTCGGGTGTTATAGACGATGCTGTTAGGTTGCAGGCAGGTGGTTAGAGTGATGTTATTAGAGTTACTCGAAGTGGACAAATAGACTTTTCTTTAACGATATGCGAATTTTTGTCCATTTATTCGGGTCATGTTCATTTCCTAAAATTTACCATTCACTTTTTACATATTTCCTAATTAAATTTGTATTTTTTTATTTTAATTTCTACATAGTTTATAATATGCCTTTGATTTGAATTTTTGTTAATGGTTAAACTTGCATTAATAATTAAATTTGCATTTTTATTTTATCTTAATTTGCATTTAATTTTAAACAAAGTTTTGAGTTAGATAATTCTATAGACAACTTTTAGAATAAATTCATTTGTTTTTCTTTTCAAAAAATCCACATAACCATTTTTATCCAATTATCCACTTCAATCCATAAGTATCAAAATAAAATTCATTTTGTAGTCTCATATCTATATCCATTTTCATATCCATTTAAAAAAATCCCTAAATCATATCTAAATAAATCCATTTATCCAAGTCTAGTTACCAAACCAATTGTCAATTCCACATTAATCAGTTAACCAAATACAAAAACAATTCACTGTATATTACTAACTATTTGTATCAGTTTTCATTACTAACCTATTGCATTAATTTTTATTTTGCATAAGTTTTTTACTACTAACACTTTGCATCAGTAATTTCTACTAACATTTTTGCAACAGTAAAACTAAAAAAAAGATGGTTACAGCTACAGGTAAACAAATTTTTTACATAAGTAAAAATCCCTTCAACAACAAAAAAAAATAAAAAATGGTTCAGAATTACATCAGTAAAAGCAAATCACGGTTATAATAAAGTTTTCCCAGCATAGGAATTTTTTTCATCTTCAAGGCACGAGTTGCATTATGGTGAATCACATTTTTCTTCTTCTATTCCACCTCATCAGAGTTCACATGCTTTAGTTTGTTCCACGCGTTTATTGCACCCATTTTCACCTATAAAATCAACACTATTAATCAAAAAAGGGGAGGGAGGATGGAAGATTATAGAGGATCACTGAATTTTATTTTCGTTTCTTGCTCGGCTTCTTATAGATTAATTCCTACATAAATTCACTCTAAGTTAGCTTCAGGGCCAAATGATTAAACACTTTATTACCTTGAAATCAAAATCAGAAAGAAGAAGATCAAATAAAAAACAATTCAAGCAAAGAATTTGAGAGTTTACCTGGAGGAATTTTCCAGTGAAATCTTTGAAAGTGGTAGAGACTCGCGGTTTTCAGCTTCGTTTTATATTTATTCTTCCCCTACTTGTTGTTATTTATCTTCTACTATTACTGATTCAAACTTCATTTGTAACTTGTAATCTCTTTGAACCATAGGGAAAAAATTGGGGTATTAGGGCATTGTGGGGAAGAGGGTACTATGATTTTATTGCTTCATTTATC